CCCCCCCCCCCCCCCATCCTGCCCCGGGCATTTCGGGCGCCCTGTTGTCTGTAGGGAAGTTGCGATGAACAGATGTCTCTGCCCCAGCTCTGGACACGGGGATGTCAGTCCCTCAGGCTAAACGGTGACCTGGTTGCCGATGCCAGCTGCTTGGAGAGCCCATGGATGGATGATGTTCTCCTGCAAGACCCCTGCCCACGGCCGCCGTGGGGCTGAGATCCCCCCGGGCCGGGGCAGACGCCCCAGCCAGGGGGAGTCTCAGCCCCACGGGGGCCGCGGGCAGGGCTGTGGTGGCCAGTCCTCCACTTAGCCCTGGCCACCATGCCCTCTCCTCCCATGAAAGGCACCGTTTCATGGCCCGGAGCAGAGGAAAAGGCAGCAAATTCTCAGGAGAGTAGAAAAAAAAAATCAAGAACCCAACCCCGAAGTCCCATTATAAAAAAATGGGGATGAGTTTGATTCCCCCTCACCCCGTCCCCTCCAGCAACAAAGGGACGAGAGGCACCAAACTGGGATGGAGAACGGGGCATTCTCCAAGAAGATGGCTTTTTCTTTTTCCCAAATGGCATGGCAAGTGCTCAGGGCAGGGGGAAGAGACACTTTTGAGAAGGGATGTCACCTGCAAAAGGAGCCCTTTTTTTTACCTAATTCACCAGAAATCATGGAGTCTATACTGGGGAAGGGATTATTGTTAGCCCCAAGTGTTCAGAACCGTTGTGTCAGGAGTGTGCGGGTCCCTGATGGTGTGGGCACAGCGAGGGACAAGGCAGGATGGTCCCCATGCGCCCAGCTGGCTGCACAGGCTGGGCCAGGAGCAGACCCCTTGTCCCTGGACCCCCCAGCTGCCCCACAGGGGCTACTAGCCCCTGGCTACCACCCATCCAACGCACACAGACTAACTCTAAAAGAGCCGAGCACTGGAGAACCCTGAAATGTGACTCTGTGTTAAAGGGCCATGAAACTCTCAAGTGAAATTCACAAGGAAACGGGACCTTGCGGTGGTTTGGCTCTCAGGAACCCAGGGGCTTATGTTTTACAAAATAATTTTATCATTTGAAAAAGAAGTAGCATTGGAATGTTTCCTCTGTGTTCCTGTGGTGTTTGGGCCTGCCCTGTGCCATGGCACCGTCCCGGCCAGGCAGGCATGTGTGCCCATGGGCATCCAGACACGGTGGTGGCCAAACCTTCCGCGCCGTGCGGCACAGGGCGGAAAATGCCAATGGAGCCCAGTGGCTGCTGCCTGGGGGGACTTCTTTCTCCAGCAGTAAGAAACTTCACCCCAAAGGAGCGTCCTGACCCCTTTCTCTGGGGCAAAACCCTGTAACGAGACCCACTCCCGTGCCATGGCTGGCCCTGGTGGGTCTCTGTGGGTGGGGGGTGCAGCACCCACCCCTCTGTGTCCACCTCCCCATCCCCAGGCCAAATGATGGCCAGTGGCTCCCGAGGACAGGGTCAAGGTCTCCCCACAGTGTCAGCCGGGGCCGTGGGCACCATGGCACCCGTCCCACCCGCTCTGTGGGGCAGGACGGGCTGCCACAAGCAGGAGGCAATCGCTGTGGCCCGAATGGCTCCTGAGCTGCTGGGACAGCCCAGCGGGTCCCCAGCCGGGGGCCAGGGTCAGGGCCAGGGCCAGGGTCAGGGCCAAGGACAGGGCCAGGGCCAACGACGGGCCAGTGCCAGGGCCAGGCTGTGGCGCCGGGGGGGGGGCTGCTGCCGGCGGCCTCAAGATGGCGCCCCAAGAGTGGGAACGGCGCCGCAGAACAAAGGCGCCTCAGCCCCGGCCCGTGCCCCGGCCCGCGCTCGCTCCCGCACCCCCGGAGCCCCCCGGGGCCACCGGGCTCCCCGAACCCACCGGGACAGCCCGGCAGGAGCTGCCCCCGCCCGCCCTGCCCCTCTGCTCGGACCCAGCGCCCGGCTCCGGCGCCCTGACCGCCACGGGGGGACGGGGTGCCCATGGTGCGGGTCGGGATGCCTATGGTGGGGGTCGGGGTGCTCATTGCAGGGGCTCGGGGTGTCCATGGTGGGGGTCCCCGCACACCAGCTTGTCGCAGGCACCCCCTCCTGAGCTGTGCAGGAAGGTGCCGCGGCGTCGGTGACTCAACACCGTGGGTGCCCCCATGACACTGGGTCAGCGAGGAGCCACGGGGAGACGGGCACCCGCGGGTGAGGGACCCGGCCACCCGCTGCCGGCGGGTCCTGCGGCACCAGGGCATCGCCACGCCACGCACAGCGCCTTCCCGCTGGCACCACCGCCCGCTGCCGCAATCCTGACCACAAACCCGGCCCCTGCACACACCGTGTCCAACGCACGGGTGCTCAATTATCTGGCGTATTAAAGGTGCCTTATTTAGCTCCTCTATGAGCGTCCCCTCAAGCCAGGAGGAACCTCCCTGGCCAAGCAGCAGCTCCTCGGCATCAGGGACACCAGGTTTTGCCCGTCCTGTCCCAGTTGTCTCTGGAGGCAGCTGGAAGCGATGGCCCGGCTGTGCCATGCTGCTGCCCACCTCGCTTTCCCTCTCCTCCCCTGCCCAGGGGATGAGCTGCTCTTTCCCTCTCCACGATGCCACTGGCAAAATCACAGCATTAATTAGTTGGAAGTGGCAGGGGTGGCAGGATGGGGGTCCCGGGGCACCTGCAGGCCCCTGGCTGGCATGGGGCAGTGAGGACCCGCTGTGAACGCCGCGGTGCGAGGCTCTCCCCACGCTGTGCTCCGTGTCACTGGGGGCTGTGTCACGCTGGTGTGTGTCAGTCACAGCTCGGGAGGTGACAGGGCTGATGTTACGTGTCATAACACCACATGTCTGCAGGGACTTTGTGTATTTTTTTCTTTTTATGTTTCAGTGCATCTCTCCCCACAGTGCTCCAGGCGTGGGATGCTGCAGCAGCGCAGGGCCGATGCCTGCGGGAGGTGGTGGCACGGACCTGACAAGCCCTTCGGTGCCAGGTATGATGCCGGGGGGGGGGGGTGTGTCTTGACTCCCCTTGCTTGAGGGGTGCCATGCTTGAAACATCACCCGAACTCTTTGCTGGGGTGGGGGACTCCTGTGGCCAGTCCCCCTGCGTCCTCCTGCCCAGCTCCCCTGCACCACGTGCCTCCCCGCCGCCGTGCCAGCGAGTCTGTGCCGACGCTCCAGGGGAGCGGGGCCGGGGCCGCGGGAGGTGCCCGTCCTGCTAATTAGAGTGTGCTGAGGAGGAACTCACTCAGCTCTGTCTGGCTTGACATTAAGACCTAAATTTGCTGTAAAACCAAATGGATACGCACACCCACATCTATAAGGCTTTTAGTTCAGCAACAAGTGAATCCATCAAAGCCCAGCACCTAATTTAATAGCAATAATGAAAGGTGTGCGTCACTATTAATTTAAGCACTCCAACATTAGCCTTGCACTTAGAAACCAGCAAGGCAAAGCTATTTACAAATGAATGTACCAGGGCAATAAATTGAAAGTACTGGTTTGACCTGTGGTGGCTGCTTTCTTCATTTATACATAGATATATTTCTATAGATGCATTTATTCCCATCTCTTTAGCAAGGCCTCCCTAATTAAGTTGAAGTGGCAGTGAAAGTGTGGCAGTAAGTGTGGAAAGAAGCTGCTAAAAACGTATTTAATTCATTATAAATAATCTTTGATACTATGAGGTTGGATAAAGGTTTGCAGTATCAGAGCAGGCCGCCAAGGAAGGCCAAGGAGATCGCCTACACGCAGCCAGAGCATTTGCATCCTGGGGTTTAAGCTCCTCGCTCCAGGGGAGGGAAGAGCCCGGCTGCTGCGGGAGCCCCCGCTCGCACGGGGGGTCCTGGGGTGCTGGCACCAGCACCAATATCAGCACCAGCACCAGTGCTGGCCCCGGGGGCACCGGGGAGCAGGGCAGGGCGAGGGTCCGTGGGTGTCGGGGTGCCGGCTCCGTGTCGCTGCGTGCCGCCTGTGCCCCCAGGATGATAATGTATGTTAAGAGGAAGGTGTATGTCACCCACATTAAAGGAGTTTAATGTGCTCGGAGTCACATTATTGTACCCTTGTAGAATACATTATCTGTCATGCTGCCTTTACAGGCTGTCACCTCGCAGAAAGGCTACAGTGTTCCTGGAAACCATTATCAGCCTCTAATGATATTATCAAAATTGGAGCGCGGCGGGCTGGGGGCGGGGAGGCGGCAGCGCCACGGCTGCTGCTTTCCCTGCCCCGGGATGCGGCTCCTGCATGCCCTGCGGTGGGACGGGGGCTGTGGCTTTGCGGACCCCCTTTGGAGCAGCAGCCCGGTGTGGGTGTATGCTGAAGGAGGAGAGGGCCCAGCCATCCCTGCGTGGCCCTTGGGGCCACCATCAGGGCTGGCGTTGTCACCTTGCTGTCTGGCCATGCCCGCACAGGAGCTCTGCTTGCCCATTGGAGGGGTCCAATCTCTGGACACCGTGTCCCGCTCTGGGCTGCCCTTCCCATGGTGACATCCCGCGGGTGCAGCCACGCTGGCGGAGGGTGAGGGGTGTCCTGTGTGGCCTTGGCCAGGGACACGGCAGCTAGGAAGCACAGCTGGAAGCCACGGTGCTGGGAACTGCCCCTGGCCCTGCAGTTGATGGGCACAGAGTCCCTGGGACTTGCAGATGGAGAACCTGCTGAGCTCAGAGCGGCTCCGCTGCAGCCCCTGCTCTGCCAGTTCCTGTGTGGCACCGCTGCTGTGGGGATGCCATCGAACTGGCCAGGGGACCCGGAGGTGTGGCCGGCACATGGGAGCATCTGTGCGATGGGGATGGGGACAGAGAGAGGTGAGGGTTTGTGCTGGGGCAGGGGGGGGCTGGCAGGGTGTTTGGGAAGGGGCTGCTCAGCCTTTGTTTCGTCACCCTGGCGTGGGCTGGCCATGATGCTTGGGGGTCTGTGGGGCAGTGTCACTGTGGTGGCACCTGTGGTGGCACTTGCAGTGTCTGGATGGCCTCCTGGGGAGGAGCTCAGCAGCTGAAGCTGGGGCTGGGGGCTCTGGGGGCTGCGTGCCCTGCAGCCGTGCCCCCGTGCTGGGGCTGTTGGGGCCGCTCTCAGCACCACACCAGCACCCCTGGGGAGGCTGTGTGTGGCTCAGCCCCACACGGCACGGGCCAGTAACCCAGCAGGAGCCAGCCAACGTGTCAGCCTCTGAATATTGCTCTTCCCTCTCCCTGTCAGGTGAAATTAAAAAAAAAAAAGGGAGCCTTCTTTTTTGGAGTGTAATCTTCCGCCTGCGACAAGAAGCCACGTAAACTGATAAATTGCAGATTAAACGAGTGCCACACTCCACTTCAGTCCCTGGCTGTTAATTCCCCTGTTGTGCAATTCCCTGCTCTCAGGGCCTGTCAATTCCAGCTAATCGCAGGAGGCACTAAAACACTCTGCCCTGACAGCCCCAGATCAAGAAACCCCTGACTCCTAGCTCAGGTGGATTGCATGCATCACTTATGCACAAATCAGCAATATGCCAGCAGGGAGGAATTATGTCCGATGACAGCCCAGATGAGGTACATATTGCAGAGCCGGCGAGCCCCAGCCGCCGTGACAGATTGCAGCGCGGGGCTGCGCGCTGGTGCGGGAGCGGCTCCCGGCTGCACCGTCCCCCAGCGCAGCCGGCACCGGCACCGCGGAGCCACCGGCATCGTGCCTGTGCCACGGCGGAATGGGGCAGCACCAAACCCTGCTCCTCTCCCCAGCTCCTGCAGAGCCACCGTGGGGGTGAAGGGCACCCCGCGCTGGTGCGGTTGTGGGGCAGGACGATGGAGATGGGGAGGGCACGGGGCTGGGAGGGCACGGTGGGCACACGGGGTGTCTCACCTGGGGAGGGGGGTGACAAGGCAGCCCCACTCTGCCCACCCTGCAGCAGGGAAAGCCCCGCTCAGCCCAGCCCCGCCTCTGTTTTAACATTTAACTTGCCTTACTCTGTGATCCTGAAAAGCCTAAATTAATGACAGCCTTGCAGTTGCTCATTAATAATTGCTTCATTACTGTATGCGATCGCATTCTCCTGACAATAATGGTGTTTTCTGGTGTGTTTCTAATTATCTGGCATTTCAGGTCCCTAATAGAGCCCCAGTGCTCCCCAATGGGAAGCCCTCCCCTGCAGTGGGGAGCGCAGCCTGGCGCACCGGTGGCCCCGACACCTCCCCGTGGCACGTGTGCTCCTTCCTGGGCAGCTCCCGGGAAGAGACCTGACCCCACTGGTGACGTCCCATGCAGGATTCAGGGACACTGTGCCGGCTGGTTGCTGAGACCCCCCCATGCTGCGTCCCAGCTCAGCTGCTTCCCCAGGTGAATGTTGCACACCTGATACTGGTGAAAAGCCAATTTGAGAACAATGATGGGAGTGAGTGGTGCAGGAGCTCTGGTGAGCAGGGCAGGCACCGTGTTGTGGCAGGAGGTGCTCCGTGTGGCCACACCATGGTGGTCCCATGGCCACAGCAGCGTCTCCCGGGCGAGCAGAGCCCAGCGGGAGGTGCCAGAAGCCTTGGGGGGTGCCCACGGTTGGGGTTTTTTGCTCAGGGCTGCCTTGGCTGGGGCCACGCTGCTGCCAGGAGCGGCCGTGCTCACGGCAGGAATGTGAGTGCTGTTTGGCAGCTCCTCAGAGAAATTCATCAGGCGGCGGCTCTGGGGGAATCGTGGCACCGTCCCCGCACTCGCGGCGTGGAAATGACCACTTGTGCCCCAGTTTAAGCCCCAGCCACCGGCTCGGAGCGTGTGCTGCCCCCGTGCTCCCCACCTGGGGAGGGGGCTCATTTGTAGTTAAAAATCTATTGTGACTTGTCAGAAAAATGAATAAATGAGCACATTATTTTTTCATTTTGGAGCTCAGCATCTGTTTGTCTAATCAAGAAAGAGAACTGGGAAAGTCAACCAGGGCTGACGCACACATTTTATTTAACTTTTCCTCTGTCAAAGGAGTTTAAATGTGTAATGAACAGGCCATGGTGATTTGAAATATAATCCCATTACTCTGATGAGATTACCAAGGCTGTGAGAGTTCACAAATCATGCTTAGGGTTTTTAGAGCGAACAACACCCTGTTGAGACTCTTTTTTTTTTTTTCTCCTTTTTTTTTTTTTTATTTAAG